TGCTAGCTGTAAAGAAGGCTTGCCTTCTGAAAGTACGGTCAGCCTTAGGTTTTCCCGCGGCCCTTGGGTGCACTGAAGTTATGCTGGGATCATGGCTCAGAATCAGCCAACAGAGGTTTGCTTCCAGGCGGGGTGCTCTGCGCTGAAAACCCCAATAATTCATGCCTGCCCTCCAGCAGGCCTGATGCCCACCCAGAGGGAAATATGTAATCCAAAAGAGCAGAAGTCAGCTCTGCAACGGAGACCTAGGTCGCGAGGAACCAGGCCAGGAGACCTGCAGACAGGTTCAGGGAGTGGGGGCTCTTGTGCAGCCCTCGGGTTGGTCTTAGGATTAGAAAGCTGACATCATGCACAGAACCCTAAAACTTTCTTCAGCGTCCCTCAGATTTTGCCTTCTCCTATTCCATGGCAAGGTGCTGCTTCTGGATCCATCAGCAGACCCGCTGGCCCTCCCACCCACACGGTGTAGTTCTTGGCACATAGCAAACCTTTGCTGTGTTTTGATTCATTTCTTCCCACCACCCAGCTGGAATACCCTAAACCAGCCATTCTCAAGGTACAGTCTGCAGACCCCAGAAGTTTCAGAAACTCCCACGGGAAGTTTTCAAATTTTTCAATTTTTGATGGATGTTTTCAAAATAATACTACCTTCAAAAAGATAATAACTATTTATTAATTTATCTCTCGTGGTCATTCAGTCGGGAAGGCACAGTGGAGTGTTCCAGAGAGTGCAGAGCCGGTGACACCACAATAGATTAAATGCAGAAGCAGATATGAGAATTCAGCTCTCTTCTCAGAAGCCAGGCTTTAAAGAGATTTGCAAAAATGTAGGACGGTGCAACTATTTTCACTAAATGGTTTTGTTTTGGGAAAATATAGTTGTTGTTCTTATATGTTAACATGACATGCATCTACTCTTGTTATTTTATTTTTTTTGTTTGTTTGTTTGTTTTCCGGTACCGGGAATCGAACTCACAACCTTGCAATTTTAAATGAATGCACAAAATTTCCTAATTTGTTGGTTTTAACTTTAATATAGTACATATAAATATGTGGAACCCACATAAATACAACCTCTTTGAATTTCTTAATAAGTTTTCAAGTGTAAATCGTTTGAGAACCATCACCTTCAATCACACAAGCAATCATTTGACCGATCCTTTTTCTCTTTCTATAATGATTTTTAACTTCCACTTTTATTTATAAAGGTGATATGAAATTTAGGGTACAGTGGTACGTTGGTTCATGAGCTCAGTTCTCTCCATGATTCTGATCAAATTGGACGAGAATTGAATCAAATTCAATGGCTAGGTTCAATGTTGACCTTGTGAGGATATTTGATCGGGTTCTTGTCCAATTCAGTTTGTGACTAGAATTGTGGAAAGAATTAAGTTCATGATCCAAGGTACCACCATATAAAAATAAGTAAAGAGAAGGATTCAATATCTTATAATCAGACCACTCAGTGGAAGACATTATTAACACATTGGCATAGGGATGTCCGTTTCCACTGGATGGGGAACATACGGCACGTGTGCCGAAACTGGCTATTTATTATCACTGAAGGCTCTAAAATGTTCGCCATCACTGTTTTAGTCCATTAATACATGACGAACATATAATTAAAATAGAGTGATATGGTGATAATATTTTCAACCTTACTTCTCTTGTACTTAAATATAGCATAGAACCAGTGAATATCATTAACAATTTTTCTACAGCCCCCACTATAATGATTGCATTTTCATTGGTTTAATTAAGCTCCTGGTTTTGGACATTTGTATTGCTTACTTTTTTTTTTGTTATATACAGTGTTACAGTGGACAGCCTTTTTGTACATGTTTGGTAATTTCTTAGAATAAATTCCTAGAAGTAGAGTCATTGTGTCAAGAAGAGTCATATTTTTATTTTCTATACTTGGAAACATGGCATACAATGTGAGAAAATCATCTTTAATTTTACCAATGAACAGTTACATATTCACTTGATCTCTCAAATGCACCATTTTTCTAAAATGTCAACGTTACAACCTGCCCTTTTTTCTCAAAATGCGGATTGTCAATTTAAAAAGCTCTGTTTCATGTACTGTGCCATAATTTACATTTGGACATTTTGGGTTATTTACAACTTGTTGCTGTTACTAAAATATATTCATGTACATGGAGATCTCCAAAAAATGCATATTTTAAAGTTCCTAATGTCTGTTGCCAAATTGCTCTTCAGAAATGTTGTACCAGCACCTATAATAGTAGTTTCATTTGACACCTTTGAATTATGTCATTTCTTTGCCACTCTGATAGTTTGAAAACAGCGTCTCATTTTTTATAATTTTTGTTTCATGTGTTAGTAGCATGTTTGACTATTTTCATATTTCTCTTGAACTATAAATTTCACTTTTTAAAAATGCCTATTAGAATAATGTATTTTTATTGAATCAAAAGCTGCTCATTTTTCTCAAATATTTGTCTATATACTGGAAATGCTGGCTTGTAGAAGAGAAATTATTTCATAACTAACACAGTTTTATATATTTGTAAATATAAACTTAATTCTATTGTGTAAATTCATTTACTTTAAATACTCCCCACTATGTTTTATCTCTATAAAAATCTGAATTTCAAAGAATCAGATAATAATCATCCATATTGAGCATATAAGACTACTTTAAATGGAATTGTATAAATTATAAGATGCTATTTGAAAGTAAATAAAACTACTTTTTAATACTTAAATATATTCAAAGGTAAGTAGTATGATTTGGTTTTGGTTGCAACTCATTTCCCAAGCTTATTATGATAATATCGAAGCCAGAAAAAACTCTCAGGAACAGTAACTAATGAGGGAAGGACCAAACATAGGTGGCACAGGAGAGAGAGAGGCCCCTAAGGATAGAAGATGGTTCCGTAGAACACAGCAGGATGAGATGGGGAGGACAAAGCCACCTAGGGCCTGCAAACTGCTGCTGGCTGTGGATGGGTCAGTCCAAGGTCAAAGCTGGCTTCAGCCTCATAGTTCTAACCTTCATATCTTCTTTCGTCCTGTGCATGGCCCCTCCCCATCTACTCTCTGAGGCCAAGGTGAGCAAGACAGGGCCCTTGGAGAGGAAGCTGGGAAGAGCTGAGTTGAGGAACAGCCCTCGGATCTGCAGATTGGGATTCCGATGGGAAGAGAAACTCTCATGACTTGCACAAGCTCACACAATAGGGACAAGCAATTTCCAAAGAGCCTGGCTGAGGCCCCACACCGAGTCAACAACAGCAGATCCTCCCTGTCCTTGTTAAGAAGAGCTGAGGAAATGGGTTGTCCAAGGTTGTAGCTGAGAGGAGCTGGGGAAGTAACGGGCCAACTAAACACCAGCCACTTCTAACTCTAATCTCGTCCTGGCCCTGAAGCTCCAGGCAGAATCCCACACACTGTTTGGCCTAGAGGTATTTACAGAATGCAAAAAAAAAAAAAAAAAAATGAGGAAATGAAAATATGACATTTGTAAAGCCCATGAAATGAAGCAACAAATTATCAGTATTCTTAAGAATTCTGAGCTCTTCAAAACAAAAAGTTTTCACCCAAAAATAATGGGAGAAATAAAAGCTTCACTCCCCAAATGTCAGTGGTCACTGCATCTATTTAGTTTCCTACAGGGAATCCTAATAAATATTTAAGCTGTTCCAATCTACCCTGCCAGTTAGTAGTTAGGGGGAATTAAGCAGTGGATTACAAGAACGGTTTCTCCAGGAGCTTTGAAGTCTACTATTTTAGGCTGTATGATCACAGGAATGTCTCATCCACTTCCCTTTCTCCTTTCTCTTTTAATCTTTTGTGGGGAAAAAAAGCTATCAACACACCAACCTATGTTGCTATAATGATTTTCTTAGTGAGTACTGCAGTCATCACACAGACTTTCATTGTAATCCCCCCTCTTCCCCAGCTCCTAAGTTTTCTGACACATTCCCTTCAGCCTAAAACTTGCCAGGCTCCATTCCCTGTTCACATAAACTTGCAACTCAGTCTGTCCAGCTGCTAAAGAGAAGAGCATTGGAAAGACTAGCTAACAGAAGTCGAGATAATCATAACAGCCACTCATCACTTGAGAAAAATGTCACCATCTAGGGAATTACCGAGGAATTAAAAGAACAGGAGAGGATAATTAGGCGATGTCTGAAAGCCCAATCAATGTGGTTTTTTGACTGAATCTGCAAAGGTCACAAAATCAAAATGTCTAGAAAGCAACCTATGGACAGGAGGGTGTCCCGTTACCAGAACTTTCTCCTCCAAGGGTGAACATCATTAACTATGAGAGGTTTTTTTAATGCCCTTGAAAGTGGTTTTTGTGCAAAGATAATATTGCTCAGTGGTTTACTTTGACTTAAAAATTAATATTTACATTATTGTAGTTACAAAATAAAAATTTTATGAGATTTTAAATTAACCACATAAGAAATAAAAACCTAACATATTTTAGCAAACATTTTTACCATTTTTAGCAAACATTTTTCAGAACCTTAGATGAATTATAGATTTAATTACTTAAATACCTTAAAATATATATACATTGTCTTTTTGAGACAGGGTCTCCCTATGCACTTCAGGCTGGCCTTGAGCTCACTTTATAGCCCAGGCTGGTCTTGAACTAGCAATGATCCTCCTGCTTCAGCCTCCCAAGTGCTGGGATTGCAGGCATGCACCACCACGCCTGGCTAAAATATATTTAACTGTATTTTTTATCAATTCATTGTTTTCAAGTTCCCCTTAAGTATAGTCTTTTGGTCCTCCAAAGTGCTGATATAAATTATGTAAATGTGATAGATTAAACTTTTAACCTAAAAATCTCAAATCTAATTACTTAATTACACACTTAAAATTTAAATCATTAGTCTGACATGTTCTCTAAAAAGACAAAAACTTTTAAAGTACAAATGTGTAAAGGACTAGCCGTGCACCCATGTCTGAATTTTAGAAGCACTCCGTATTTAAGTTTGTAGTGGGGGATAAAAGTCACTTACCTGTTAGTAAGTAATGATGTCATCTCAAACAAATCTGGGGGCTTCTGAGTCGAGACCACTCACTCTTCCATCAGGCTAACAATTCTTTCTTGAGTCATTTTTCTCCATCTCTTTCTTCTTTTCTGAGTTCTTGTGCCTGCCTGCTGCTATTAGAAAATCCAGAATTATTGTTAACTTCCCAACACAGAGCAATTTAGCCATAGTAGCTAAACTTTTCCTAATTGGGTCTTGCCTAAGTAGGACTTATCCTTCTCATCCAGAAGTTCTAACAAGCTCAAAAGAAATCCAGTAACCTCTGACATATCTGATGCCTTAATTAATGTTCCTCCTCTAGAATGCAGAAGCAGGGGGAGATAATTCTTTTTCTAAACAGCATTTATCTCCCTTTTTGGTTAATGAGGTGCTAAGCTTTCTCAAGATGAAGATCATAATTTTTATTTCCTTTTAAACTCCATACTCACTGGTCTTCTAACAGTATTTCTGTTTCTTTACAAGGGACCGGAAATCCTGCTGGTCTTTCTTTTGAAAGCCAGGGCAGCCAATTAAAGACAGGAATAAATTTTTGGCTATTCATCTCACTGCGTGGAGGACTCTGTATCCCCTCCCCTTGAATCGGAACTGAACTTAGTCACTTACTGACCGATGGAATATGACAGAGAGAAAGCTGGACCAGTTCCACAGCCAGACTTTGAGAAAGTGTGTAGCTTCTGCCTTGCTCGCTTGGAGCTCTGAGCCTCTGTGCCACTGTGATATATTACACAACATGAATTTTGGTTTTGACACCAAGTCCTAGCACAGAACTCCTAAAACCCTTTTAATTTCAACGGTGAAAAGAGTATTTTCGTCTTAACGCGGTACCACTGCTGGGTTCCTGGGTGTAAACTGACCACCAGAAACACCAAGATGTGATTAGAAGCTTGGAAATTTCAGTCTCACCACCGCCTTCCAGGAAAGGCAGATGAGCTGCAGACTGAATCAATCAGACCTGCATAATGAAGCCTGCATAACAATGCCTGAACTGTAGGGTTTGCGAAGCTTCTAGGGTGCTGCTGTCACGGTGACCCTGGGAGAGTGGTAAACTCAGACATGGGTTAGGAGCTCTGCACCCCTTCCTGCGCACTTTGCCCTGGGAATAGCCCTCCATCTGGCTGTTCATACGCAGCCTTAGTAATATTTTTTCTAGTAAACCAATAAGCATAATCAAAAAAAAAAAGCATAATCAAAGTGCTTTTCTCAGTCCTATGAGCCAGGCTATCAAAAGTTCACACCGAACAAGGGGCCTTGGGGAGCCTCCACGTTGCAACCCATTCAGAAAGGAGTTGTGGGTAACGTGGAAACTCACTACCAACATGGGAGGGGGAAGCAGTTCTTATGGAACCGAGCCATAACCTGGGGTTCTAATGCCATCTCCAGATAGACAGCGTGAGAAATGATGTGAATTGCAGGACACCTACTTAGTGTCATTATTGTTGGATGCTGAAGTGGGAGGAGAAACACATTTTGATGACTAGAAGTATTCTGTGTTTAGAGGATAGTAGGAAAAATCAGTTGGGTTTTATCCTATCGTATGTAACCAGCAACAAAGAAGTCGGACACCCTCGAGACTGCTCTAAAGTGAGGAATCTGAAGCCATGTGAAGAGGTCACAGAGGTGGGAGAGCTGCCCAACATCCGCCGTCACTACCAACACTTGAATGGATCATCTTATGACTCCAAATGACTCCAACTGGTCTCTGCAACTACATGAAAGGCCCCAGGCCAGAACTGCCCAGCTGAGCACAGTCCAATCACAGAAACTTAAGAGAGAATAATACATTGATTTTGTAAGCCCCCAGAACATACAGGAGGCTTAGTAGGAAGCACTAGATAATCAGCACAGCAGATAATTGTACTACGGTTTTAAAACTGAGATTTTGCTTCACTTGGCCAAAACCAGTATGGAGGTTTTGAAATACAGTACAGCCTCGGGGGACACTCAGAGGAACTCCCACATGTCTATCCTCTTGAGCCACTTCTTCCGGCATAAAAAGTGAAAAATCAAGTGTACTGCCCTCAGCCCCACCTCTTAGGAGGCCTGTCTCTCCCAACTAACCTTTCGGCTGCACTGTTCACTTTCCCGTCCCTGGGACAAAGTACCTGCCATTCACTATTCAAGAGGAGAGGTTTAATTGGCCCAAAGAGACGGAAACACCGGCCATGCGTGGATGGACTCAACAGTGCAAACACACTCATCAGGGCTCTACTGTACACCCAGTTCTACCAAGGTGTTACCCACCTCCTAGGAAGCCCTTATAAAGCAACAAAGCTTGAGATCAACCAGACACTTGGTGGCAGGTTGATTACAGGAGATTCTCTCCACCCTGGAGCGACAGTGATCCATCCTTACTAGAACTGGCAGATTCTCACCTGGCTTTCATTTTTCTGTCTGCCTCTCCCTTCCAGAACCACCATTCAAGAGCATATAGAATTTCTAATTAATTATCAGGAGATTCCAACCCAATATCACTTCAAATCAAGGGGTCTGGTTTCAAGGAAAGACGCACAACAATCAACGCATGAACATGTAGAGCGTCCCCTGAAAACAATCGGCTTACCAGAACAATCGGGCTGCTTACTAAAAATAAATAAACTAAGGTGCCAAAGACAAAGTATACAAATTAAACAATTAGCTACGCTCTGTCCTCCAATAACTAGAGTAAGCAGGTCTGTATCCCTGTCCAGCCCTCTTATCACGTCCAATGGATTCCCAGGAGTCCACTTAGAGAATGTACGCTTCTCGGGCCTGCATCTTTACATTTCCTAGGATTAACAGCCCTGGTACCCAGAGTGCGGCTTTCTCTAAGGCAAATAGCAAGACCTTCGTTGAGGTGGAAGCTACAATTACTGCCGGTTACTTTGGGCTCTTCATACCAGTGACTCAGCATGGAAAGAAACGAGTTACTCCATTGAGGGGAGGGGGCAAAGGATGTGACCACCCTAGGGGCAGGACTGCTCGCTATACAGCAGGAGCAGAGGGACCATGTCTGTAACACAGGGGGCTTTCCGGGGGTGGGTGTCTGCATACTTCTATGCAAGGTGATACTGGCAAATAACCAATTCTAGCAATCACAGCCCAGCATAAAGGAGGAAATTAAGAGCTCGGATTCCTCAAGCCTGGAGATGTTGGCACACCACCAAGCGAACAGCATAGAGGAGCCGAAATGCTGGCCAAGGCTGAGTGAAATCTAGAATAGGCATTGAAGAAGTTAGGTGATGAATACCTTTGCGATTGTAGCGCATTTGAAGCAGCAAGGATTGCAGCTCGTTGCACTAATCCCTTGTATTAAGCTCTGTTCTGGAGTGATTGCAGCTGCTAACACTCTGAAGGTCCCAGTGAGAAAACTGGTCTTCATACCTGGTGCAAGAAAAGCGTGGACTGCATCTGATGCTTCTTGTACCACTCTTCCTTCTGAGGCCATTGGCAGTCATGACTGTGAGGAAATGTTACCCAGGAAAGGAGGAAAGTGTTCCAGTACTGACCACATCTTGCTTTGGGCATGTCTGTGGCTCGCCATGCTATTTTTCTGTTGCTGAAAGAGCAAGAGACCCATAGGAGCTGTGACATGGGTCACAAGTGTATCCATGTCCCAAGCAAGGGGAGATTGCACCACCTGAGAGAACTCTTGACCCATAGGAAATGTCGAAGGACAAAGGACTAAGGACAAATTCTTCCACCTGTCATCCCTCAAGTCACTTCCCAAGTGAGCTCTCTGAGTGCAAATGAGCCCAGAGGAGCTCCTCCACTTTCCAGGTCCACTCAGGCTAAGAAAGAAGCCAATGAAAGTCAACATAGTCTTTGCAAATAAGATAAAATGCTGCGGAACAACACAATACAAGCTTTCATTATATAAAACCATCAGCTGTGAGGGGAATAGAGTTTTTCATTCATTTTAGCTACTTTCTCCACCATAAGACAGAAGTTAGGATACATACTCTCTTAGTTACTTTTCTCTGGTTGAGACAAAATACCCAACATTCAAAGCTAAAGGAGGAAAAGTTTATGTAGCTCACAGTATGTAGAGATTTCAGTCCATAATCAGCTGGATCCAAGGCAGGATGGCATGGCAGAGGAGCACGGCAGACAAGAATCAATCCATGGTGGGACAGGCAGAAAGCAGCCAGCAGGGAATCTCCCTTCCCCTTTTATTCAATTCAGGCTATCAACCTATTAAATAGTGTCACCCACATCCAGGGTGCACTTTCCCAATATCCACACGCAGAACGATGCTAAACCAATCGGTGGTTAATCCAGTTCTCATACTCCCTTCGTCGTATTCATACACCCTAGATCCAGCCACCTCCAAAAGCCCCATCTATAAGTCTATGAGCTTTGGGGGTACATCTAAATACAAGCCATAGCACACATATTCCTTTACACATTCTTCCCCACAAAAAAACTACTAATAAAAAATAAATTGTTTGCCAGGACTGGTGGCACATGCCTGCAATCCCAGCACTTGGGAGGCTGAGGCAGGAGGATCGTTGCAAGTTTGAGGCCAACCTGAACTACATAGTGAGACCCTGTCTCAAAAAGACAAAAAAGAAAATTGTCCTGGGGAGGAGTATATTTAGTATCTGTTTTCTGTTGGTGCTGCAACAAATTACCACATGCTCAGTGGTGTACAAGGATGTAAATTTATTATTTTGTAGTTTAATGGATTAGAAGTTCAGCATAGGTGGCAATGGGCAAAAATCAAGGTATCGGCAGGGCTAAATTTTCTTCATAGTGAAGGATATGTCTCCTTGCGTTTTCCGGTTTTTAAAGGCTCCCAGCATTCCTTAGGTCACGACCTCCTTTTTCCCTCTTCAAAGCCACATCACCTCATCCTGACCTCCTCTTTAGATCCTTTCTTCTATTTTTAAAGACGCTTGCAGTTACCTTAGGCCCACCCACGGAATCCAGCCTGATCTTTTTATCATAAAACCACCAAATTGGTAACCTTCATTCTAACTGAAACCTTAATTCCCCTTTGCCATGTAATGACATCCTCATAGGCTCCCAGGATTAGGATGTGGACACCTTTGAGGAAGGGATAGAAAACATTATTCTGACACAGTGTCATGGCATCGAAGAACGAGCTTATGAATTTTCTTCTAAATCAACTCCC